ATATATACATATATATATATATATATATACATATACACACACACACAGTATAGATACAATTGTAAGTACTAAAAGTGCATTTGGGAGATTTTACACATGAGGATATTTTCGACACTTTGGATGTTTTGGGGGCTCACAGTGGGGAATCTGAGCCACGTGGATCTATTAATCATCACAGGGCTAGTCCAGATCAAAGAGCCAGCGCCAACAGCACACGCCTCTGTCCACGATCTTTGTTTTGCTTCTCTGCACTCATCAAGACACAAGTGTGCTGTCTTTTGAGGTTTCTTCAATGCACTGACAGCACGTCTGAAGCAAAAAGTTTCCGAAATCCAACTGAAGGAACATTGGCTGTGTCTCAGTTGTGCATGCGGCTGAATTGACTTTGGTACTGTAACACAGTAAGAGAGGAAAACTATCCTCACCCGCATACAAAGCACCACACTCACATTCAGAGAGGCTTACATTTGACTTTCTGAACGGGTAATTATCAAAGAGATTTTCCACTATTTCATCATTCACCGCAAAAAAGTCTAACGTTGAAACAGATACATATTTCCTGACCAGTCCCCTGCTTCAGAGCACAAGCCCACAGCTTTCATCGTATCGTGACCCAAAACACGGGTCCCTGAGGACGGGCAGACGCATGTGTCACTTCCCCACCATTCCACTTGTCACACGGCTTTTTATTTAGACAATCTATGTCTCAAGGACCGCAAAAACCCCTAACCCCGATCGCTTACTCGAAATATCAAGTTTGACAGAAAACAACACGGTCCACCCCTGTTGCCTCCCTCAGAGGGGGGGAGCTGCTGGGTAGAGGTGAAGTGGGAGCAGTGGGTCGGGAACCCCCTCTGGCTTTGAAGCTGTGAAGAGGCTGGTGGTGGAGAGGTGTTTTCGTGAGTGCCGTTTGAAGGGAACAGAACAGAGCTGCTCCAGCCCTGTATCCATGGCAACCAAGACCGACTCGAGTCCTCGTTGAGGTCTTTTGTTTCTCCAGAGGAAGTGATTAAAGGAGGTACAAGTGAGAAAACCGAGGATGAGACTAGCCGCGCTGACACTTGTGCTCTGTCAGCTGCACTTTTTGAAAGTCCTTCTCACTGCAAATATGAATGGACAGAGTCTCACTATTTAGACAGCGAGGACCAGTCCTCTCTGGTTCTCCTGACGGCGGGACTGAATGGCATCGTGAGGCTCGGACGCTAATGAGCTGAGATCATTACGCCAATTACTTTAACTTAGATCAGGACTTGGCTGTGACTGTGCAGAGGAGCTATAGGACCCATTGCTAGCTTAATTGCCAGCTTAGGAAAAAAAAGAAAAGAGGATGAGCATAACAAAAGTGTTTTGAAGCAGAGCTGAGGACCAGAGTTCACGACTAAACTCTGGTTACATTCCATCAGGTTGTCGTGCATCGGGTTTAAGTAGTGCCTCTTAAGGCTATACTGTTGAAAGGCAGCTCTGAAAAAGGCAGACGTCATCATATTTCAGAGACAGACAATACAAATGTTAGAGTTGAGTGACGCTGACAAAGGTGACATCACAGCATAGTTGACGTTTGGTTCTGACTATTAGCGCTTCCTTCTACAATATTTCTACTAAAATACAAGTATGTAACATGGGAAGAAAGACGCACTAATAATGGCCAAGCAAGACGCTGAATGATCCTTCCACTTGCTAATTTGTAACTGTATGAATATACACTCAGTTGCCAGTTTATATAAGTAGGCTAAACTAATCTAAAAAACAAGTCAAGTGAAACTTTATTATCCCACCAAGGGAAATATGGTTGCAGTCAGGTATACAAACACTTTCTTTATAAAAACATAAATCACATAATGCAACAATCTGGACAAACGGTACAAACGTGAGATCCCTTCAAAAGAAGCCAGAACAGAGCCGAGATCACACGTGAGACTGCAGGCAACTAATTACCGTGCTAACAAAACAAAACTTTGTATCTTTTTGTCCAATGAGCAGGAACTCTGTATCTACGGCCTGAAAGCTGAAATCAGTCCTATATGGTCTGGGCCTTCCTTGAGACCTGCCTATAGTAGAGGTCAGAAAGCCACTGCTGACTCACCCCAATATCTTTGGTGGCCACTTTGACACGGTGAGATTTAGGGTGCCAAACCAAGGACACAATACAGGACAGAACAGACTCAATGAAACCTCCATAGAACAGAGTCACAATTGTAGTGCACATTAAAAGAGTACGGACGTTGTTGGACCTTTTGTAGACATGTGTATCCATTTGATTGAAAGCTCAACTTGTTGTCAAACACAGAAAAATACTTTTTCCACCAGGTCAATGTCATTCATGACCGAATGTCTAATACAACAGCCCTACAATAAATCATCCCTTCATAAAGGTTTTAAAGCTCAGTTTATGTTGAAACTAATTCAGAGAGGAGTCCATTCAACTGTATGTTCATGTTGGAGGATGCAGTCTGTGGTGCCGGTAAATTGTACTGATGTTTTTATTATTTTGTCCACCCTATTTACATCAATAAGAGTAGGCTCAATAGCAGAAACACAACTCTGTATAATCATCTATGAAAACTATTATTATATTATTAATTAAATTATTATTTTGTTTTCTTTATTAACTGATTATTCAATATTCGAGATGTATTGATGATATGTAATCTCATTTATGTCCCAGCTCTCCGATGCGTTCTCTCACGGAGGTCATTAACAGCCAGCTACACACAGTGTTCTACATCCTGCTGTAGTATTTTCCACAGATCCCCTTTTGTTATCTGAACCTCCGGACCCTCCACACAGCACATCAAACTGTACTGCTCAACCATTTTAAGCTACTCCTTGTCTCATTCCTTCTCATTTTGTTTGGGCAGAGCCTTTTGAAAACACAACTCAAGCTGGATTCTCTTAAGAAAGTGGGAACTAGCACTGCATGATTTCGGAGACCCCGGAGAGTGAGCAGGAATATGTAGCAGGAAAACAGATCCAGCTGATAATATTTCCTGCTGCTTATAGACACTGAGATTTTGGGGATGGATGGAGTTCACACAGGGAACGGTTCGGAATGTAGGAAAACATCTCACAGACAGATCCGACTTAGTAATTGTGTTTTTATCAGCATTAGTGTGACACTAGAAGAGACCGCCAGTTTCAGTCACATTCACTTAAGTGTTGTAAGCTTCCACATTTTGACGTGATTTTTTTTTATGAAACGGAAAAATGGTGAAAATTAAATAAATATTGTGAAAACCCCAAGCTAACAATGCAAGCTATAGTCATCCGACTGTCAGAGGGTGAATCAAATACAACCCACCTGGAAAGTTGTTTTTTTGCAATATGTTTGATGATTAATAAATGCACTATAACACTTCACAGCTGTAGACTCCCTAGTGGCTGATTTACATTGTGGACCTCCAACATAAAACATATCACAAACATGACACCAGTCTGACTGAGACTCTCTCGATGAAGCTACTGATGACGAATTAACACAAGGATGTTTCTGAAAGAAGACCAGCAGACCAGCAGATAGACTCAACACATCTCATTCAGACTGTGAGATCAGCTCAATACACACATGTATATACATATGTGTATATACATATATACATATACAGACATATATATATATATATATATATATATATATATATATATATATATATATACACACATACACACACACACATATATATACACCTATACACATATATACATATACACATATACACACACATATACACATATATATATATACACATATACACACATTTATATATACGTATACATATATACACATATGTATATATACATATAGTTACATGTATATGTATATATGTAAATGTATATACTATCTGGAAAACACAACAATCTGTCAGTGCCAAAAGTCAATAAAGAAGGCAGACAAGATGTCATGACTACATGAAATGTAACTAAACGTATTATTCATTGGGGGAAATATGCATTTCACTTATAAATGAAATTATTTTAAACACCAACTGTTATCTTGTGAGAATTCACTTTTGATCGCTTCACTGGTTTTAAGAGAATGGCTTTATCGCCATCTAGCGGTCGACCAAACAACCTAGTTTACATCGTAAAATCCGCCTTATTTTCAAGCTAAAATATTGAGTGAAGTAAACATCTGTTCAAGCAAGTGGTGTTTAGTGAATATTTACCTTTTTAGGGTCATCATAAAACACTCCGATACATGAAAGCTTTGGTCCAATTCTGTGAGACTCCTTAAAAAGTTGGCCGCTCTGTTGGTATGGACCTTGTTTGAATTTGTAGACGAATGTGATCTTCTTTATGGGAGGAGAACCAGTCAGTACGGTTATGTCCGTGAGGAGTCCCGAGTACAAAACGTAACCAGCTAGAAGACTCATCAACAGGCTGATGGCCACACACAGACTGACCCAGTCCAGCATGATCGGAGCACCGTTGTTTAACTTATTCTGAACCCTTCACACAGTTATTACAGTTGCCTCTGGCGTTAACAGGCTAACATTTTTTGCAGGCAAGTATTTGGACGTTGTCAGTTGAATAATTAGCTAAAAAATACCCAAAGATTACACATTGCGCGGTGCTTCCTGGAATGTACCATTCAGGCCGACCAAAGGGGGGAGACTCTGTCACAAACAAACTTGTAAAACTCTTGTAAAACTCGACATGTCCATGTCGAAAACATTTTCAAAATCCAGATTGATACTGGTGCTGAATGAGTGTGCAGTTCGCATAGTGATGAATCGTTGATAAGTGCACACTTCTGTAACTCGGTCAACCACATTATTGTGACGCCCATTATGGACACTTTTTTTTCATGTTTGTCATTTTGAATGGAAGCTCAAATCAGTGAACTTTAGATGTGCAAAGCATCGGCTCTGCAAAGTGATCAGGAACTTATATAGAAGGTTGGACACTGGTATAACTCGTTTGACATATTTAGCTAATAATTAATATGCATCATGGCAAGCTACTTCCTTGAATGACCTTGTGAGTCAGAGAAGAATTGCAATAATAACACATGAGAACATTTATTTTGGGATTGAATATGATGGTTATTGTACTGAAAAATGTAAATGGGGGAGGTTACATTAATTTGAAATGGTTAAGCCTTGATAATTGTTTGACATCTGCGCCGCCCCATATGAGGGTTGGACTTGAAGGGAACTTGTTGACATTGAACCGCCTACATAGTGATAATCCGAAACTTCTTTGTGTGATTCATCCGGAATTCGCGAGAATGGCTGGAAATGTGAGGAGATTTTACGACCTGACAGCTAAACTGCTGTTTGGAGAATGCTTCAGTTTCTCTGCACTGAAGGGTAAAGTTGTTCTCATTGAGAATGTGGCGTCTCTGTGAGGAACAACAACCAGGGACTATACCCAGATGAACGAGCTCCACAGACGGTACTCAACCAAGGGCCTCGTTATTCTGGGTGTGCCCTGTAATCAGTTTGGACATCAGGTAGGACCCGTGTGAATGATACTATTTACATATTTGAACTAGAACATAATCTGATGTGTCTTGCTCTAGGTTTATGTGTGCTCCTTGATCATCATAGGACCAAAAAACAAATGTACCTCGCTCTTTATTCATGTCACAAATTATAGTAGCCTAATACAACATTTTCAACCTGAAGGATGCCTGTGTTAAATGAGCCTACGTGCGTCTTTTTGGTGTGTTAAGAAGTTGAACAGTTAAACAGTTTGTCCCTTATGCTTTTTCCTGCAGTAAAAATAAATGCAATATCACATTAACCCTCATTATACCAACCAAGGACTACAGACTGGGAATAAATACTTGAGGAAGTCACATGAGGAAATCTGTCAACTGCATCTGTGTCTGCCCCTTTTGTGGCTGATAGAGTGCCCCTACCTCCTTGATAGTGTGAGATACTTTACAATAAAACACATGGCTAACATTTCATTTATCTATTCTGTTTTTTATTACAACTGCATGTTGGGGTGCTTTTGACTGTTGGGACCCCAGGACCCCAATACATTGGTATTTTAAATAAAAGCACTAATAAAACAGAAGCAATAATCAATTATGAGTTCTTTAGGAAGAAATGATTGACAAAGTCATGAGAATTGGGATGATAGGATAAAGCACCAGTGAGATATGACTAAAGTACACCTGTGGGGTCAGTGGGGATCCCATATGAGGGTTGAGATCCTCCATCGCAAGTAAAGGTCCTACATTCATAATGTTACTTATATTAAGTACTACCAAAAAAATGTCATAAGCAGCAGAATGTATGTGTAAGTGCATTGATTAAAAGCCTAATAGCATTATAGCCTACTTTATAGTTGGTAGAGGTGGAGCTTATAGGCTTCTTTTAGATTGAGCAGTAGTGCACTGTGTCTAATATTTTATAACTTGATCAAAGGTTTTTATGTAAAAATCCGAACCTGCAAAATGAGCAGTATCTGCAGCTGTCAGATAATCATTGTAAAAGGTAAAGTACTTCCTTCTGAAATGCAACAGTGGAGTAGAAGTATAAAGCAGTATAAGACACTGATTGCATACTGTCCATCTGTAATGTATTATATGTTTCTGTCGTTTTATAACAGGAGAACTGCAAGAATGATGAAATCCTAAGGTCTCTGAAGTATATCCGTCCAGGGAATGCCTTTGAACCCAAATTCAAGCTCCTTGAGAAGGTGAATGTAAATGGGGAGGATGCCCACCCCTTGTTTGTATACCTGAAGGAAAAGCTTCCGTTCCCCTGTGATGATGCCATGGCTCTCATGACTGATCCAAAGTTCATCATTTGGAGTCCCGTCTGCAGGAACGATGTCTCCTGGAACTTTGAGAAGTTCCTGGTCGGTCCTGATGGGGAGCCCTACAAGCGCTACAGCAGAAATTTCCTCAGTATTGACATTGAGGCAGATATTAAAGAGCTACTGAAGAGGGTCAAGTAATGCTGTGGGTGGCTGTAAGGGATATCAGTTATAACCAGCCCGGCCAACAAGTTTAATCAGTGGCCTTACTGTTTGTTTTGGGTATTTCATCATGTTTTTCCACCTTCACAAGTCAATTGCAACATTGTGACGCATCCAGTGCAGTACACTCTGGTTGTTCAGCCTATTTACTCAATGAAGACACTCTTGGAAACCTTTTTTGCGTGGGGAGTTTCTGATGAGCATGTAAAAGACTGACACTGCCTGACTGTATAACTCATGCATTGGGTAGAGGAGAAATAAACATGTAATGTCAAATTAAGTGCTACTGTCATTTATGTACACTGCATACATACACACACAATTCCAGTATTTTCAGTGAAGAAGATATTTATTTTGATGTAGTCTTTTAAAGTACTGCTTTCTATGTATATGCACTACTTGAAAGCCTATTTGTTGGTGAGAACAAAATCTGCATAGTTTTGACTGATGACATCTTTGGCCGGTTTGATATTATAAATTTAAAGGAGTATAATTCTCACGTCCTGTTGGTGCAAAACAATTAAGTGGCAGCTGCAAGTCAACTCATTCGCCTGAACAGTTAACCTAGCTACGTAACACTGGCGTACTATCGTTATGTATGCCACGTTACCTTATAGTGCATACATGTATGTAAATACAAAAAATATATATTTTAAATAAGTCTGTGGTTATAACTAATAGACTTAAATCACCAACAGCAGCACTCTGTTCGTCTGTGCTGTGCTTCCTGGTTGAACGCAGGGGGCTCTCCTTGACTGAACGCTACGCTGTACTACTACTCGTCCAACATGGCTGGCCAGGAAGATCCAGTGCAAAGAGAGATTCACCAAGATTGGGCGAATCGAGAATATATCGAAGTTATTACGAGCAGCATCAAAAAAATCGCCGACTTTCTTAACTCATTTGGTAAGCTTGTAACGACCAGTCGAAGGAAATGATTACTTTTGCGCATAGCGTTACATTGTCTAGGTAGCTAACCTAGATCTAGCTAGCTAGCTAGCTTAGCTGTTCTGCCGTTGCTAGCATTGATGTTGACGCTTTCAATGGCCACTCCCAGTTAGCAGCTAGCAGTTAGCTTTATCGTTAGCTGTGAGCTTGTTATTGTTTCCTCGGGGAAGGATTGCAGTTTGGTGCCAAACATTTAGTTTCGCTTCTTGTTATCTTGTGTTCGTTGCCTAACAAGTGTCAAAAATCATAAGACTACTGGATTCAAGTGTTGAGACGGCTTGGTTGTCAGGCCACTGCAAACACTAGGCTGCTCGGCTGTCAGTAACGTATACCAGCAGCAGCAAAATCCCTTACGTGTATTGATGATCTCTGACAAAGTGTAACTGATATTCATTTATGTTCAATGTTGTCGAGTGAACGTGGTTGTTATTGTCATAATCGACAAGCTGCGCCTCTTGAAATGAAATGTCGTGACTGATGATGGTTTGCGTTACATGTTCTACATAATGTATCCTCAGATATGTCGTGTCGATCACGCTTGGCCACCCTCAATGAGAAGCTGACGGCTTTGGAGAGGAGGATTGAATATATTGAGGCGAGAGTAAGTAAACTGCATTGTAATGTATACATCCCAATGCATTTTTCTATTTGAATATTTCAAAAAGAGATAATATTCCATGATTATTTGTCTCGTTACAGGTGACGAAAGGAGAGACCTTGACCTAGAAATCATCATGGGAACTCACAGTATCCCAGAGCTACCTGTTCATCCCCCTCCCTGATTTTTGGAATAAGTGTGATGGATTCCACCCTCCTTTTTACGGGACCATGTGGACCATTTTTATATTTTATGCAGTTTTGTGTTGTTTTGCCTCATGACACTTTTGTATAGAAGATATGGTTCTGTCTTGGGTGTCAATGACTCAAGAATCATCAATGTAAAAAAAAAAAAAAAAACGCTTCAAATGTAATGGTTTGAAACAAAATTGTGGAGCTCAATTATGGATCGGTATCAGTGCAACTTTTGACATTCTGTGTTGTATGCATCGTCATTACCACTTTAGAGATTTATGAAAGGGGAACATCCTTGTGTGCCAACTTGAACAAAAAATTGTGTAGTCATCTTTATTGAGGACCTGCTTGTACAGTGAACTGTTTGGTGATGTTTCAGGATTTAAATACTGTAATAAATACTGAACAATTACCTTGTGTGTTGTACTTATCTTAGTCAGATTCAACTTCATCGAGTCGGTATGTTGACACATTCAAGGGGTTTAATGCTCAGTAGCTCTCGATATGCTCAAACAGACTAGAAAAGTTAACAGGAAGATGGAAATATTGACAATGTATGGCTTAACAAAGAAACACACACAGTAGGTATTATGCTATTGTACAGGTAAGAGCTGGTCAGCAAACACTAAGATATTTGACAGTTCAAATTGTTATTGAACATACAGGATTGTGGGACAAAGTGCAAGATTCCAACGCACTGGCATGAATACTGGAATGACAAATATTGGAAATAAATATAGTATGAACAGTAATTTAGTAGTGGGATTAAGTATTGCTTCGGGACCAGGTTGAAGACTACAAACAGAAATTAAGAGTATCCTGAGAAGAGCTACACATTGAAAAGTAAAGGGTGATTTAGCAGTCAAATAGGTTCTGTAGTTTAATGCAATTTGCTATACAAGGCAACCTACTAAAAGCCAAATGTGAAATCATATTTTGAAGTACTAAATTATTACAAAACAGTTTACTGTAAATATGAAAAGCTACATAACGCAGTAAAATGGCCGAAATGTGAAGTAGTTGAACGATTCCCTTAGGCAGCACTTTAAAAAAAAAAAACACCATACACATCGATCTATGCTCGGGTAGCATGCCTCCTCCTTTACCACTGACAGACAGATATTATAACAAAGTGTAACGACAACTTTATTTCCTGCAATGTCAATCCCTAACATAACTAATTGTCAGAACCTGATGAGGGCAGACTAAAAACCAAGGACCAAGTGCTGCCTGTGAGGCAAATAAGGTGCAAAATGTTCTCACTTCCCATAATGCACCGGGTTATACACCAATGCATCTTGGGACAAAGAAGGGACCGTTGTAGTGTTGGGAAGAGTCCTTGAACGTGAGATGAATTGTCTTTCCGACGCTTATTCAAATACGTTTTTGAAAAACTACTAGTGGGTAATAACATTTTCAACGAACTATACAGGTGAGTTCTTGTAGATTCAGACTGCAAACGGAAACAATGTACGGCTTCTCTCACTTAACTTGTCTGTTTGTTAACATTAGACCGGATCCATGTTATGGTTTAGCTACAAGCAGTTAGCGTTAGCTCCTGCGCATTGTAATCCAGCTAACGTTTATTCGACTGTAGTGGAACTGTTCAGTGGTGTTAAACAAATAAAACACAGCCGTGTTGTATTTGTTTTCTAGAGTCGTGACACGGGTGTGTGTGTGCGCAGTTGGGAGAAATGGGAGCTGATAAAAGGTGAGTAGTAGTTAACCTAGCGCTGTTCGCCATGGTAGGCGTGGCTAACTAAAATGGCAGCGTTCATTTTATTTTTCGCTAAGCGAATATTAAACTAACGTTTAATGGCGTCTAGAACACCCCCTATGACTTGGTATAGATAGACGTTAGCCTTGCAATAGCTGCAGATGGTTAACGTTCAACGTTAGATAAGTTGTTTAACGTTATCTCTTATGACATGGTCATTTCAGTCAACATTTGAGGATGTATAACCTCACGTTGGAATCGTAGGGTTAGTCTGTTAAACAAAACGTGGCCTAATATTTTCCTCATGGTCCTAAACAATGTAATTATTGAATTACCTTGATATAAGAAAAGTATAATGTATGCCTAACTAATAGAGCTAGACACTGCTCTCCAAATTGAGAGAAAGTTGCATGTCAGTGCTGTATAATGTTTCCAACTTCTGAAATGAGATGGTCACCACTAACTTATTTTGTAGTTACTTTGTTGCAGATTTGCTTAGTTTCTCTCTGCCCACATCACATTAATTGAGGAATCAGTTAATGGTTTGAGTTTTTATAAAATGTGAAAAAAAAGTATATTAAAGTATAAGTACTGCAACAACCACTGTACATGTTGAAGCATTTTAGTGTAAATCTTTGACCATACTTGAGACAGTGCCCCTGCAACAAAGGAAATACACAGTACCAGGCTTATTTTCTTGTGTACTGTCAATTAAGGAATTATGTTGTGAGTTTGCTGATGCAACAGTATCTGATTGAGTCATATTATAAGGAATATTGTGCAATTGCAGACGAGTTGTACTGATGTGCTGCTTTGCCTCTCAATGTCTTCCTGAATAGGATTAGTCGGACAGAACGCAGCGGTAGATATGGTTCTGAACAATCGCGCGATGAATCAGAATGGCGGGACAGAAGAGAGAGGGACCAGGAGCGTGATCACAACATGCGCCGCTGGGGCGAAGAGAGACGCAGTGATCGCTTTGAAGGAGATCGTCGAGGATCAAGAGACAGTCCAGAGGTAGTTTCTCATTTTCTGATATCATTGAGTTACAATGGTAGTATAATATATAAGCAAGCATACTTTGTTGTATGTTGACATCCACTCCTAACTGATGCACTGATCCATTTATTTATTTTCAGCAAAGAGAAAGGAAACGACGTAATAGTGATAGATCAGAAGATGGTTGTCACTCCGATGGCGACTACCCAGAGCAGGATTACAGAAGGGAGCCTGGGGACGAGAAGAAAAGCAAGACCATCATGCTCTGGGGTCTGTCTCCTCATGTCACTGAAGACAATGTACGTCCTTAGTTTTCTTCTGCAGATATGCAACCCATTTAGTGTTTTTCACTATTCATTCTGTAAGATGAAATGCCTTAATTGAGGGGGATTGGAATCATAACATTAACACACCATCTGCACATTGTTCAGGTTTGTTTTGCCATAGACCAACTGGAAGGACCTCAGCCAGTGGATGTCAGGTTGATGAAAAAGAAAACAGGTGAGAACTAGATATATGACGGCACTCTACCTCCCCCCTCCCCCAGTCTGTGACCATAGGGCAAATCTGCTTCCATTCAGACCCATTTTCCCATAGCAGCTAGGAGAGAATATTATCAAGGTACTTGAAAAAAGTTTTAAAATGTTGATTTAAGACATTTCAGTTCACTGTGGAACTTTTAAAGGTAAGTAAGAGCAGCAATATCAGTTTAAACAGAAGTTCAATTGGCAAACGCACTTTGTTGTAGAGTGTGTTTCAAAAAGTGCTATTCAGCAGGAATTCTTGCTATGGTAAAACTCCTAAGGAGTGGCCTACTGTGTACCAAACATGGCCTGGGTCGTGAAGCAGTTTGTGGAAGAGTTTGAATAATATGCCCATGGACTCTTAACTAACACGCCTCCCGTCTATATTTGAATGCTGTCTCTAGGTATAAGCCGTGGTTTCGCCTTCGTGGACTTTTATCACTTGCAAGATGCTACCCGATGGATGGAGACCAATCAGGTTGCTTCACAATCGCCAAGTCTAGTTTTAATCTTGGGGATCTTGAAAAATAACTCAAAAAGGCAACCATAGTGCATTGTATAAGTAGTGTGGAAACGAAACAAACAAAACCTCATGGATTGTATGCCACAGAGCAAAAGGTTTGATTTGTATATTAGTAGAGATTATAATATACATGATTTACAACTTAATGTTGTAACAAATATTTTGTTTAGTTAACTATAATGGCAGTAGCATAAAAGCTGCCAGTTAGACTCGTATTTTGAGGTTATCGTCTGAAGTAATCTGCATTTAAGACAATGATTACACTATCTTTACCTTGCTGATAGCTGATGCATCTGCAATGATATTTCAGAGTTGAATCTAAGCTCAGCCTATTCTTTTTAAGCCTACCTCTAACTAGAAGAGGACATTTCTTTTTAATCTTCCTTTTTTTCTTTTTCTTTTAAGCAGTCAAAATGTCTGTTAGGGTCACATTGTACACTCTGCTCCAGCTCAGCCTGAGCACTCGGGTCCCAAACACTTAAACCCCTCTATACATCATGCTCACATATACATCATCTGCCTGTCTTGTCTTTAACACAAAGGCTGTCTGTTGGGGGTCCCTCTCCCCCTCCTCTCCCTTCCAACACTGCTTGCTCTATTGATGAGATTGATACTCGCCAGGAATGCTTGAGTGACTTTTGTCATCCTCTTTCAGAAACGTCTGACCATCCAAGGCAAAAGCGTGGACATGCACTACAGTCATCCCAGAAACAAGTATGAAGACTGGCTCTGCAACACTGTAAGTTAATGATCCGTCTTGGTTTCATGGCCGCAATATCCCAAAAATGCTACTACAGAACACTTCAAACACACACGGGCCTATAAGTACATATTTTAGGCCCACAAGTTACAATTGTTGCAGTCAGCTTATTCTGTGGTGCATTGACATTTGAATAAGCGGTAACGGTTAGGTTGTGTCTCAGGTAAGTATGGTATGCTGCACCAATATAGCTTGCCTGTTTTCTGAGGCAGCACTGTTCAGGGCGTTAGTAGGTGTATAATAAAAATGATGTGAACGGTTACTTGCAGTGTGGCCTGTACAATTTCCGGAGGAGGCTGAAGTGCTTCAGGTGTGGAGCAGCCAAAGCCGGTAAGTAGTTAAATCAACCAGAGGCCGCTGACTGCAGACATCTGGCAGCCTGAGTCACCAGTGCTGGGATGCAAAGCAAAGTTTATCTTGTTGGTGTTGTAGAGGCCCAGTAAACCAAATGATATGGATTCATAAGTGTTGTAACTGTCCGATGTAGGTAAAGTGCATAGATTGAAAACAGCATGCCTTTTTTTTCTTTTTCTTTTTTTCTTGCTACCTGTCAATAATCCAAAATGGGGACAAAACACAATGGAGTTCATGAAATAGGCTGATATTGTAAATACTAACTCTTTATAACACAGTGACCCGATTTGGCAATTCTCACCGTATACCCCATTTTTAATTCTTCTAATTACACAGTTCGGAACCTTATGTTAATGCCCCTCTTACTTCTCTGTTATTCTCTCAACAGAAAGTGAAGCCTGCAATAACACTGGAGTCTCTGAAACGCAACCCAGCGGAGATTTCTATGGCGACAGTAAGGACTTCTCTTTTATAGATGCAACGTCCTAGTTTGGAACGAAAAGTGTCCCTATCCATGGTAGGTTGTTATTAAATA